GAGGTTTCTCTCAAGTCACAAAGCCATGCACAGGCTCAGGTGGGGAATTTAGCTAGGCCCTGTCCCTGGCGTGTGCTTCGCACAGTCGTGGAGAAGGGCAGTGTGAGTGGCCCCAGAGCCTGACAGCTCTCACGAAGGCATCTGCCCACAGCCTCCTGCTCAGCCCTGCCCTGCCCCCCCAGGGAAGGACCTCCCTCATCCCTACTAAGGAGAGAAGGCTTTGCCTCTTCTTGGGCTAAGTTCCTCCTGCAGCGCGGCACAGGTCTGGAGCCCCCTGGAGCAGAGCCAGGCCTGACTGCTCAGGGCCTCCGGCAAGGCTGGGGAAGGGAGCCAAAACTGGTGTTTATTGGAACACTTCAACACACAGTAGCAACTGCCAGGCAGGTGCTGGCCCCTCTTGACCTCTGCTATGAAAACCGAGCTGTGGCCTGGTCTACTGGAGTCCCCAGAGCAGGCCACAGGTGTGTGTTGAGGGGAGCAGTGTGGCCTGTGTCCAGGGCCTGGATCGCCCTGGGAGCTCACCCGTGTCCTTGCCGTCCCCTCCCCTGCCTTCTTGCAGACTGGAGAGGCGTCCTTGTTTGAGGTGAACATCCGGTATATTGGAGGACTGCTCTCGGCCTTCTACCTGACGGGAGAAGAGGTGAGTCGGTCCTTTGAGGCCCCAGGGCTGGCCAGGCTGGACGGGTCTTAGAAAAACTATAGTCACGCCTCTTCTCTCCCTGTGGCTTCTTGGGGAGGGGTGGTCTGCCAGAGACCAACCAGAAGCCCCCCCCATGAGGATTCCACATTGCTCAGATCCATGGCCCAGGTGAGCATGCTCGGCTCCCAGAGCAGCTGATGAGTTCTATGAGAACAGAACCATGTCCACACAGAACCTGCCCAGAAAACTGCTATGGTGCGATTCACAGGTGTCCGCTCTCAAGACCCACAACACTAAGACAACGCTTGCCACTCCAGGCCTTTGGCTTTTTTTTTTTTTAGTTAGTGTTTTGCCTGCATGTATGTCTGAGTACCACATAGGAGTCCTGTAGATGTAACCAACCGTCTTATTAAATAAGAAACACAGAGCCAATGTAAAAGAGAAAGCGGAGAGGTCAGAGGTCAGAGCTAAAACCTTACCCTTCCTCCTGTGGTGCTCCTACCTCTCCGAAAGAGACCTACTTCCTGTGTGTATGTCTTTACATAGTCTTTCTGTTCTGCCTTCTCATTGGTTGCAAATGCAAACACATGACTGCCTTGTCACTGCCTGTAAGTACAGCCCTCCAGGTCTTAAAGGCGTGTGTCTCCAATGCTGGCTGTATCCCTGAACTCACAGAGATCTACCTAGCTCTTCTACCAAGTGCTGGGATTAAAGGCGTGCGCCACCACCACCATGCTTTTGCTATGGCTCTAATAGCTCTGACCCCCGGGCAACTTTATTTATTAACATACAATTAAAATCACATTTCAGTACAAATAAAATACCACCATAGAGTCCGGTGCCCACAAAAGCCAGAGGCGTTGGATTCCCTGAAACTGTAATTACAGCTGTGAGCCTCTGTGTGGGTGTTAAGAATTGAACTCGGGTCCTCTGGAAGAGCAGCCAGTGATCTTAAATGCCGAGCCGTAATTGATTTCGATGTACTCCACACCCTACACTTCTCTTCCCTCCAGTCCTGGGCAGAACTGTAGCCAGACACTCGCCTGCACCCTTCCCAAGGGAGCAGTGTGGCAATGGGGCCGCCCTGCTGGCCATACCTGTAACTGCAAGGCTTTGAGAGCCAGGAAGTGCCCAGGGTCACCTGGGCCTTAAACCCCTTCTTATCACTCTCTCTCCAGTCATGGGATTGTCACGATGCCTCTTTAGACCAAAGAGCCCTTGTGACTTGGGACAGGAGGGAGAGTTTGGCCCAGGGCTGTCACCTCCAAGGAATGTATTCTCTCTGCCAGAGAATCTGAATTGTACTGAGATTGGGAGAAACTGGAGCCCTCCTTCTCCTCCCCTCATGAGCTCCCGTCACGGCACAGCCTGAATATCGGGTGCCCAGGTTGGCAGCGTCCCCAGAATACAGGTCATGAGCCAGGCTGTTTCCCGGGACCCAGAGAGCCACTCTGCCCAGCTCAGCTGCCACTTGGAACCAGGAGCCGGGCAGGTGAAGCAGGCAAGCTACAGAGAAATCCTGCCTCCCTCCACCTCTGTGGTCCAAGAAAGTCTTCCTTCCTCAGCTGTCAGGGCTGAAGTCGAGGGCTTAGAGGTAACAGGCCGTTTCTATCTCCCGAGTCTCTCTGGGCCGCTCTCCATAGAACATAATCTCCTCGGCAGAAATTACTGTCGATGGGAGCCATCGGCTCTGAGCCACCCCGAGCTTGATTTTTATTTGAAAACCCCAGGACAGGAAAATGACAGAGGGAATGGGGGAAAAAAAAAAAAAAAAAAAAGGCAAAGTCATTCATGTGCTTCAGAGGCATCTGTCCAACCTCCCCGGCTGGTGCGGCTGGAGGGATGGATGGAGGGAAGCGGGAGGGGAGGTGCTTGAAGACTAGCTACTCAGGAAGGAGCAAGTGATGCCTGAGACAGCCACCCAGCCCTCCTGTGACCCTTCTCTGAGGGGTCTGTAGTTCTGAGCCCTTAGCTCCCCACCTCACCCAGTCTTCTCAGGATGTGTACCTGGCAGGGGGCTGTGGACCGGGCCACCGGTGACTTGAGACACAGTTCCCGAGGCTCAAAGGGTAGCCAAATAGGCGGCCCTGAGTCTGTCTGCACAGCCTGGCCCGGAGGGGCAGCACACCTCTGTGGCCCCTGCTCTCCCTGGGCATGTTACTTTGCTAATATCAGGTTGTGAGTTCTGTGCAGAGCTCTGAGAGAGTTGGAAATACCCCATCCCCGCAGGGAAGGCCTCACCTACTTGCAGATGGTGAAACAGACCTCCAAGTCCGTGAGGCACTGAGGGCTGGACTAGGCCTCACTCCAGCCCTCTGGCCTTCCCCGCTCTGTCTCCCTTGTCACTGCTTGCTCCCAGGGCTCAGTCACTCAAAGCTCACACACACCCAGTGGGTGCCTGCTGGGGGCTTCCCATTTCTTAACTTCCCACAAATGTGTGTGCCGTATTTGCTGGCTGCTACTTTCTCTGCTTCAGAGGATGTGGCAGAAGAGGGCCCTGCTAGCTGGTCACTCCTGCTGAGACTCGACTCCCGTTAAGGTGACCAGCATGGGACTGGAGAGATGCCTTAGTTGTCAAGAGCACTGGCTACTCTTGCAGAGGACCTGGATTCAAGGCCTAGCACCCACATGGTGTCTCACAAACCTCTGTAACTCCAGTCCCCGGGGATTTGATGCCCTCTTCTGGCTTTCTTGAACACTACACATGTATGGTGCACAAACATATGCCAATGAAACACCTGTACACATAATATATATATTTTAAAGGTGACAAGCATAATCAGAGCTGGTCCTGGGGATGTTGGGACAGCACTTCACAGTTTGGAAGCATGTTCACATATAAGCTTCCTCTTTCTCAATTTCTACAAAAAACTCTGTGAAGCTGCCATGGGCACACCCTATCATTCTACTGTACAGATGGGGAAACTGAGGCTCACAGACAGTGCAGGTCTCAATGAAGGTCACACAATGACATGGGAGGATGTATGCTGAGTCCTTGGCCCTACAGAATGAAACTCAAGTCTGTTGCTCTCCGATCTGGAGCTGTGGCCACTGAAACCACATCCCTGTGTGGGGAGACACCAGGTGTCCTAGAGAAAGCCACAGAGCTCTGTAGCCCTGAAGGGATCACTCTGAAGCTCAGCCTTAGTGAGGACCTTCCCTGCGAGCTGTTACGGAGACTAGAGGTCTGCAGACACAGCCCTCCCCACTCTCCCTTCCAAGATGGCAGAGTGGACGGACCCACGTCTTTCTGTCCCCAACACTCTAGAACATACATGCTTGCCCAGGCCCTCCCCAGGGCCATTGGGACCGTCTGTGACAGCTACAGCAAGGCCTCCTAAGGGCCATGCACAGGAGGGACATGGTACTCTGTCCTATCTGCAGAGAAGATCCTGTCAGCTAGGTCAGCCGCCCCCCCCCCCAGGGTCTCAGGCAACCATGCAGCTGTCTGGGCCACACATCTGGGTGCGTTCCATTCACCGCCAACAACCTTCTCGATGGGTAAAGAGATCAAAGCCTATATGAGATCAAGCCCTTTCGGTCACTAAACCAGTGGCTTCCAGCCTGGCTGAGCTCTGCAGCTGACCCCCAGGGCGGACCCTGCAGCTCCAGGTGACAGGTGTCTTTGGGTTCTAGACCAGCCCCCGTGGTCTGCTTCCAGGATTCACAGACAGGCACTGGACAGTGTCCCCTTGGCTGACCATGTAGCCCCCCCCCCCCGTTACCCCCTTTCTTTTTCCTTGGCAAGGCCATGCACCCTCAGAGGCCTCAAACCCATTCACCGCTCACAGTTGGGGGCCCCTAGCAGCTGCCTCAGGGGGTGACTTTGGTGGTTGTTTGTTTGCATTATATTCTGTGATGTCGGAGACCCAGGGCCTTGAGTCCATGAGCCCCTCAGTCAGCAGATTTTTGTTGCTGGTGGCTTTGTCAGGAAGGGCAGGAAATTGAGTCAGTGGAGCTACAGACTGGGGACTTGCATCTCATCTCTTAAATGACATTTATGATCCTCTCTAGGTATCCATGGTGATTGGGCCCAGGACCCCTATGGATCTCAAATTCCAGGAATGCTCAGAGCCCTTACCTGAAATAGCATGCTATTTGCAGAGAGCCCGCATTCATCCTCTCAAAGTCCTTGGAGTGCCCAGCAGCAGAGGCTGTGTTCCACTTCCTCCCCTAGGAATAAGAATCCCTGTGCATGGGCAACACAGACAAGCTTTCTACCCCTCCCTCCAGGGTGGAGCCCACACTGGCCTCAAATTCCTGCCTTCAAATGTTTCTCTTGCCTCAGTGTCAGGATTACAGGTGGACCCCGTCATGGCCAGTTTTGGTTTGTTTTTTTTTTTTAAAGTGTGTTTTCAGTCTGTAGTTTGTTGAATAGGGAGTCCAACTGTGTTAATGGCCTGTGTGTGTGTGTATGTGTGTGTGATGTTTCTTGTGCACTAAAATGCATGTGGGTGGGTGCCTGTGTGCTCAAATTGGGAGACCAGAGCCAGATGCATGGTCACAGACACCTGTAGTATCAACTACTCAGGGGCTGAGCATGGCCACAGACACCTGTAGTATCAGCTACTCAGGGCTGAGCATGGTCACAGATACCTGTAGTATCAACTACTAAAGAGGCTGAGGCAGAAGGATTACTTGAGTGTAGGCATTCAAAACCAGCCTGGGCAACACAGTGAGACCTTCATTTTAAAATAAAAATAACTACATGAAAAGCACAGATAAATCAAAAGAAGGAAATAATGCTGTTCATGGGTTAACCCCTCTGAGAGGACATTGCTAATGTTTTGATGTATTTCCTTTTTTCATGCATCCATATGTAAACACATTAAACTGAGTTACACTATTTGGGGACATTTTTGACGTCACAGATGTATATATACTTACTCTGCCCCTAACTGCTCTTCGACTACATCATTTCAGTGGCTGCGTGGCATTACATCGTGGCATTACATCGTGGCATTACATCGTGGCATTACATCGTGGCATTACATCACATGGAAGCCAGAACTGAACCACTTGCCTGTGGCTTGATGCACCACACTCTATTTTAGGCAATGCTAGAATAAACATAATAGAAAATCTTTCACAACACTCTCAATTATTTATGTCCCAAGAATAAATTGGGTTTATTTGTTTTTTTAATATTACATTTGCTCATTTGTTTTATGGGTGTATGTGTGCACGTGTGTGTGTCATAGTGTGTATATGGAAGTCAGAGGGCAGCTTCTGAGAGTGAGTTCTCTCCTTCCACCATGTGGGTCTCAGGGATTGAACTCAGGTCATCGAGCTTGGCAGCAAGCACCTTTACACACTGAGTCCTCTCGCTGGCCGTTTAGCAAAAATGGGTTATGAGTGACACTGTTGAGTCAGAAGGTCACACATCCTTCTGAGTTAATCTGGCATTTCAGAGGAACAGTTTTCAGGGTTCGGAACCTCACTTAGGGACCCTGAGCTGGGTTCTCATTATGGCTCCTTAACTATCATTTGGAGGGTTTAAAACAACCATTCACCCTTGCCCTTCATTCCCTGTCTGTAAAATGGAAACAATTGAGTCACCTCAGAGTACCAAAGAAAGGCCCTTTCCCTGCATCTTAAGGGGGAATCTGTCATCCAAGAGGTAGAAGGTTCTGGAATCTGGAGAACAGTTTGGTCTGGGCTCCGAGTCCAATGCTGCATATGCTCTGTCCAGATCGACTGTTTCCCTCACTCTTGTTGTATTAGTCAATTCCCCCTCGTGGAACAAAATGCCTGAGATAATCAACTTAGAAGAAGAAAGTATTCTACTGAGGTTACTGTCTCAGAATGATCTCAACTGGGCTCACCATTTCAGTGGTCTCAACTGAGCTCACAGTTTCAGTGGTCTCATCTGGGCTCACCAGTTCAGGGGTCTCAGACCATGCTTACTTGGCTGCTGCTTTGGCTCCATAATGATCCAGGACATTGTGGCAGGAACACATGATGGAAGAGATGCCGGGATACAGAAGGGAGGGAGGGGGGATCCCAATGTCCCCATCAAGTCCCCCCACCAGTGACCTAGCTCCTTTCCCCTAAGTTCCAGCTTCTAAAGGTTCTACCATCTCCCAGTAATAACAAGACTGGTGATCGAGCCTTCAATACACAGACCTCTGGGGATGCTCCAGGTCCAGGCTACGGACATTCAGCATGTACCATCCCACAGCTCCGTGAAGGGCGGTGCTGATGCTGACAGCCAGTCCTTCTCAGTGGGGTCTGCCTCTGCACTTGGAGGTGATGCTGACTGCTTTCCTCTCCTCTTCCCAAGGTCACCTGACCACAGTGACAGTCCTTCATCCCCCTACCATCTGAGGAGCAACACTGGCTTTTTATGAACACAGAAATGGACAGAGGCTTTGTCTAAGGCCGCAAAGCCAGCAAGCTGGGGGCCTGGCCTTCCATCCAGGCTGTCTGGCTGCAGAACCTGACATCTTGCCTCTTCCTCTTCGCAATCCTGTCCCCCAGCCTTGACTCCACCCAACTCGGACTCAGTGCCCTTTGACCTTTCTTGGCAGGTGTTCCGAGTAAAGGCCATCAAGTTGGGTGAGAAACTGCTGCCCGCCTTCAACACACCCACAGGCATCCCCAAGGGTGTCGTGAACTTCAAAAGGTGAGGTACCTCGTAAACCACCCCCATTTGTGGTCCTGAGAGGTGGCCTGATGAGGAGTCCTAGGGACCATCAGCAGACGGAATGGAGTCCTAGGGAGTCACTTTCGTCTGATTTGAATTTTTCCGGAGGTAGGAGCTGAAGCATGAGAAAAGTATTATTCCTATTTTGTGCGTGGTAAGAACTGACCTTTGCTAAGTACTGTCCTGGACGGTACTTAGTTACCAAGTGTAGGGTTTGGGCCACCCAGGCCTGACCTTCCAGGGTGGGAGGGACATTTGGTCCTCTGCAAATAGCCCCCAGCTCTGTTGACTCAGAGCCTTCAGAGTTGGCCCAGCTCCCTCTCTCCTGAGGTAGGACTCAGCAGCCTTCAGGCAGAGCGTTCTCCTTGTGCGCTGGTACTCAAGGAAGCTGAGGGGTTCTGGGCCTTGGCCCTCCCGAGGACAAGAATCCTTCTGTGGGACCCTAGCCTTGGCTCTGATGTACGTGAAGGAAACACCTAGAAGATACAGAAGGCGTACGGTCATGTCCCCGAACGCCTGCAGCTCTCTGGGCCATGCATGACATACCTGAGCTGGGGGAGAGGCTGGGGAAATCCACGCACGCTCCCTGACCTACCTGAGCCCCCATCTGGGGTTCCTCATGGGAGTGCTGGCCAGGTGCCTGGGAGGGGGGTCCACCCAGCTTCTGCGGGGCTCCACCCTCCCTTCTGTCCTGTCGCCTTGGTAGCTTTGCCTCCTATGTCCCCCAACCAGTGCCTCTCTCACCTGCCCCTGGTGGGAAGTCTTCCCAGTGTCCTCACCAAAACGTCCCAGAGGCCAGGGCAGTCGTGAGGACTGACAGAAGTCATCCTCCACACCAGACTTGATGCCTCAGAGAACCACACACAGGCCTGGGCTCAGAGAGCTGCTCCGCAAGACAGAAGTGACCCACACCCTCGCGGGGTCTGGGCACAGCCCTCAGGGCCCCTCGCTCTGCTGCAGCCCCTAGCCTCCCGGCTCACCTGTGGCCCCCGCGTGGAGCCTGGTCCTACACAGGCTCTGGGATTGCTGGCACAGGCGTGGATATTTTTAGGCTGCTTGCTCGCCATCGAGACATGCTGCACGTGCATATTTCCTGGCATCGCTCACTTTCATATTCTGGGAAATAAGTGATCGCTAAAAATGGGAGGGTAGCAAGGACGCAGCGGCCACGTGCTGCTGCGAACGCTCCTCAGAGATGACCCAGCAGAGGGCTGGAGCTAGCCTGCTGTTCAGCAGGCCTGGTTCCGGACAGCCAGAGGGCTAGATGAGTGGCACTGGCCAGCGTGGAGGTGGGTGCTCACCTCTGTGCGGGAGGCAGTGACTGTGGCCAACCCAGGGACCTCTGACTGGATCAGTCTGTCACTGGCGTGCACACGTGCGTAAGCGTGCACATACATGTACACACCTGCACAAAACACTCCTGCTTCTGCCCATGCCACTAGTAAGGGCTCAGATATTCAAACTGGTCCTTGTCATGCTATTCTCAAATCCATACATGGACTTGTACATTCATACAAATGTACCTTGATGTGGGTGTGCTCCCTCTAAACATGCCTGTACACGCCTACATAATTACCAACAGCTTTGGCGCCCACAGTGGGTCAGGCACTCTGTGAGCACACAGCAGAGAACCTTCCCTTCTAACCACTGGGACCTGATTTTGCCAGGAAAGAAAGTGAAGCTCAGAGAAGTGCAGTAACATTCCCGAGGTCACACAGCAACCAAGTCAAGTCAGGCTTGGAGCTCAGCTCTGGCTCTAACAATTGCACCATACACAGGAGGCTTAACCAGGTAGCAAGGGGTACTGTGGAGCAGGGAGCCTGGCCAGGGGAGAGGAGAGGAGAGGGGGGGAGAGGAGAGGAGAGGAGAGGAGAGGAGGGCCGATCTCACTGTTGGTCCATTGGCTCACAGAGTTATTCGAAGGACCCTCTCCTTCCAGGATGCTGCTCAGAAGCATGCTGTGGGTGCATCCAGTACCTAAGATTTGGATTCGGATTCAGTTCTACCATGTGCTGTGTGACCTTGAAAAGGTGTCTCCCCCTTTCTGAACCTAAGTATTCCCACCCAGGAAATGAAGATCACAGTATCTGCTAATAGAGTCGGAGGTGAAAGTGAAATAAGTCGCCAAAGCCACCTGGCTGCCATTAGAGGTTTATTGTCACCTACATATGCATAATTACATGCTGATAAAAATGACAGTCACGCGCATGATTGAGGCTTCACAATAACTCTATAAGGCTGAGTGTCTGGGTTTCAGGAAGGAGGAAGCTGAGCTCTGGCGAAGCGGTGGAACTCTCCTAGGGCACCTGGTCTGGGGCATAGAGAAAGCCAGAAGCCAGGCAGAGAGCGACAAAATGCCCCCCACTCCTCCCTACTGCCCGAAGCCTCTGGGCTGTGACTGTGAGAGGCGGGAGAGAGAACGGAGAGGCCCGTGTGTGGACAGTGAGGACAAAACCTGCTGGAAGACGGGAGGGAGTGTGGCGCACGCCTTTAGTCCCAGCCCTGGGGAGGCAGAGGCAGGCGGATCTCTGTGAGTTCAAGGCCAGCCTGGTCTGCAGAGCGAGATCCAGGACAGCCAGAGCTAATAGTGAGAGGTTGTCTAGAAAGAAGGAAGAAAGCTAACCAGGGACTGGGGCTTTTTATTTTTAATGTATGAAGCATCAGTTGACATCACAGGAGGCCCTCCAAGCTCCCCAGCTGCAGGAAGAAGGCTCACTTAATCTGGCGGACCCCCTTATTGCCTCTGGGGAGCCTGAGGTGTGGGGGTAGGGAATGTGAAACCGGAAGGCCTGGGTTGGAATCCCACCTCCTGTGGTCTCTGGTTATGAGCACATCACTCCCTTGACAACCTGCTTCCTCCTTCGAGTACTGGGGTTAACCATGCCTGCGAGCTTCCGGTACAAGGTGAAGTCACTCCCTGGAGCGGCCAGCCTGACCTAGTGGCTCCCCAGACAGCAACCTGCCCAGCCTGAGCCTAGAAATGCATGAGGGGACAGAGACAGGACAAGGGGTGTGGCAGTCTCTGCATTGGTGGAAGTCACAGTCCTCCATCTGCTTCCAGGAGCTGTGGCTCACCTCAGCTCCCCTGCTTTCCAGGAAGACCCTTGCTGAGCAAGAGCAGAGCTCAGAGTGAACATTGAGGCCCCGGGCCTGCACCAACAGAAGTGTGGCCCCTGGGCACCTCCCCACCCCACACTGCCTTCCCAAGTCTTCTCCATCTGGAGACGGATGGACAGCAGCCGGTTCCTAGGCAGCAGGAGAGCAGAGGGGCCTCCAAAAGGCACCACAGCCACCCCACAACCTGTCCAGGGGAGACAGTCACTGCACTGGCCCACCCTCCCCCATCCCAACTAACTCTCCACAGAATGTCTGTTCCCCTGGAGTCATAAATATCCCATGGGATATGTGTATGGAATCTGGACCATATGGAGAGGCAGTCCCTTGCCCACCTGCCATCCTTATTCAGGACCAAGTCCCCACAAAAGCCAGAGGCTGGGAGGCAAGGGCAGTTGTCCTCATTCTGTTATACAGATAGGGAAACTGAGGCACACAGGGACTTGCCTGGGGGTCCCAGCTAAGTGGCGCTGGACCCTACACCTGGTTCCAGGGCACGGCAGGTGGGGGGCTGGAAAGTACCCCCTCACAGGGCAGAGTGGTGCGGGCAGGCGGCCTCCCCCGGGGCTGGCTCAGCTCAGCTTCCTTTGGGCCCAGCTGCCGCACAGGCTGGTGACTCTGGCGGGAGGGACCTGACTGTGGGCCAGAGTCTTTGTCTCCAGCAGGGAAAGTGGGGGGATAACGCATGTGCTGGCGCTGAGGTTTATTCCTAGAGCGCTGGACCCCGATGTGGTCATCAGAGCCTCCTGTGAGCACAGGGCAGAGAACGCGACTGATGTGCTGTGAGACGTGCAGTCTCACGGGGCACTAGCGTTGGCTGGGAGGGCCCCTTCTAACCTCCAGCTCCCTTGGGTCCTGCAGTTCTAAGGCTGTGGTCACACCTTGTAGGTTCCGAGAAACTCCAGGCTGGGGCTACTATATGACCTTCTGTAGAGGGAAAGGCAAAAGTGTATGCGTGTGCATGGGGGGTGTCTCTGCTTAGAACTGCCCTCTTCAAGCCTAAAGATGGCCACTGAGTGTCCCGTGGGGCCTTTATGGCTCCTGACCACACCATCGGCGTCACCTGCAGATTTCACCAGATCTGTCTGTGTCATGCCTTGAGCCCCGAACATTCTAGAGGCTGCTTGGTAGGAACAAAGACTGGTGTGGGTTCAAATCACCTTCCACCAGCCCCAGTGGGGGGCCCAGGAGGATTAACTGAGGTGTCAAGCACACAGCAGACATCACCCTGTACCTTAGCCACCGCGCATCTCAGCCAAGGAGCCAGCAGGGTGACGCAGCTGATGTCTTTTCAGCGGTAGCTGGGGCTGGGCCACCGCGGGCAGCAGCAGCATCCTGGCTGAGTTTGGATCCCTGCACTTGGAATTTTTGCACCTCACTGAACTCTCTGGCAACCCGGTCTTTGCAGAAAAGGTGAGCTTCCCCTCGCTCTCTCCCCAGGCAGGTCTCCCACACCACAGCAGAGGGGCAGAGGGCAAGTGTCTGCAGTCAGGATGTACAGGACCCCCAAACACCATTCTCAGGGTGGTTCCTGGTGGAGGAACCAACTGTGCCCAATGCCAGGTTGCAGGGAGGGGAACAGAAGCCACCAGAACTCTGCCAGGGAGGTTTGTGCTGGCGCATTGGCTGGTGGCAGATCTGTGAGCTGTGAAATCTGGAGACTGTGAGTGAGCCAGGCTCCTCATACTGGCAGGAACAGGCGGTGGTGTGCACATGTACCCTTTCCAGGGACATTTAGCTTTTCTGTGTGTGAGATCTGCCTGCCTTTCCCTCCCAGGTGCCTGTCTGGCTCATACTGGCAGGGTGGTTCCTTATTGCTGCTCTCAGCTGCCCAAGGCTACGTGGGTGCTGAGAAGTGGCGTCCAGATCACTGCCCAGTCCTGACAGTTGTCTGTACCTGGCTCTGGGAAGCTCTCTGGAAGGGCTACAGCCAAGGAAATGTCTGGAATCAGAGCCAATCCTGAATCCAAAGGAAGGCAGTGTACACAGGCCCCGTTCAGAGCTCCCCCCCCCCACAACAGCATTTGGGGGTCCTGCTATCTTTCTGAGATGGCTTCATGCCTCTCCCTGGTGGCGCTCTCTTGTGTCACCAGCTGTTCCCCGAGCACATCCACCACCCGCACAGCTGGAAGGAAACAGACTTGCCCCAGGCCCCGGAGTCTGCATGCTCCCATGAAACCCAGTGCTCTTTAATACCAGGTTTGGGACCACTGTGTCCTTGAAGTGGGACTCCACCAGGGTAGAGAAGGTCAGGACAAGCTTCCCACCCTCTTATTGGTGCCTCTGACTTCTCACTCTATCCTTACCGGTCCAGGGTGTGGTCAGCCGTCCCTCTCAGATGAGTCTAATCTCACAGCCCAATGCCATGCTCTCTGACCCTTTGCCCAGGCCAGGCTTTCTGTTCTCATGACCTTCCAGCTGGATTCCCCTGGAAAGCCCAGGCCAGCTCAGGAAAGGGTCCCGTGGATGCACACTGACCCTTGCCTCAGACCCCCCCCAGGGGGGGGGTGTAGGGAGGGAGGTTCTGCCAACCCTATCTAACTGAGAGGTAGAGGGTGGAATGGCCCAGAGAGGCTAAGTAACCTGCCCAGGGCAGCCAGCAATGAGACAGACAGCAGAGAACTGGGCCAGGAACTTTCCAGCCTTTTCTTCCCCGGGGAGATCAGTTTAGCCAGCTGCAGGTGCACCTCCAGGCTCCCCGTCCCTCCATCCCTCTCCATTTGCATACTGAAGCTATTTTCAGCCCCTGGTCACGCCTCCCGCGGAGGAGATTATTAGCAGTCAACAAATGGGCCCAAATTCTCACAGCGCCTTGCACCCTCCAGGGTAGCTAATACAGCCCGCTTCCCTGGGCCCCACCGGGACAGGGAAGTGTGAGTCAGGCCCAAGAGTCTTCCTCTCTACGCCTCTGAAGAACAGGAAGGCTGACAGCTCAACTTCCCAGACGCTGCCCCTGCCGTGCCAGTCCATGGGTGAGCAGGCTGCAGTGTGGTCCTGGGGACCTGCTCTCCCTGAGGGCCCCATTCTGGGGACCTGCTCTCCCTGAGGGCCCCATTCTAGTAGATGGCTGGAAGAAGTCCTCAATTGTGTCTCTCACCGTGCAGCCTCGGGCGGGGGTGAGGGCTTTGCTGCACGCCCAGCCTCGACTATGTGTCACTGTGTGCTCACCCTCTGGGTCTGTGCTGGACGCAATGGCTGTTCCAGGCAGGGTAAGGAACACGGACCCAAGGCTCAGAGAAACTTGATTAAAGCCCCCGCTCACCACATGCACATCACTGGATCGGAGATAGAGCTCTAACAGTGGTGTTTGCCTAAGATTCAGGAAGCCCTGGGTTTGATCCACAGCACTCAAAAATGTGGTCTTGCCTGCCTGTAACCCTAGCACTCAGAGTGGAAGCAGGAAGATTAGGAGTTCAAGGTCAGCCTGAGCTACCTGTCTTTTTTTTTTTTTTAAAGGAAATTTAGTGATTCTAAATTAGCTGCTGCCAGCCGGGTGGTGGTGGCTTACACCTTTAATCCGAGCACTCAGGAGGCAGAAGAAGGGGGATCTCTGTGAGTTCGAGGCCAGCCTGGTCTACAAAGAGAGTTCCAGGACAGCCAGGGCTACACAGAGAAAGCCTGTCTGGAAAAACAACAATAGCTAGTGCCGCTTCTCTGAAACTCCTCCCCCAGAGTGGTCTACCCAGGGGCGGCACTGTCCCGGGCGGGCGGAGCCGTCAGCAGAGGGCTGGTGGATCAGGCCCCACCTGGCCACATCCCACCATGCTCTGCGCGGGCACTCAGAGCCTGTGGTTCTGTCACTGTCCCCCCTACACACGGGAAAGCTTCAAGCCCCACGTGCATCCGAACCATTTGCTCCGTCCTTGTGGGTGGGAACTGAGTGCCTTCTTCAGGAAAGTAACTGTGCCTGGTGTTTCCCACAGGTCAAAAACATCCGCAAGGTCCTCAGGGAGATTGACAAGCCCTTCGGCCTCTACCCCAACTTCCTGAGCCCAGTGAGCGGGAACTGGGTGCAGCGTGAGTACCGCATCGTTGCCCTCATCCCACGAGTTCCGAGTCAGGCTTCCTGAGCCCGAGTGGGCGCTGGCCGGGAGCCAGAGACTGGCACCAGCTCCTGAATTCACCTGCCTGGACAAGCCAGGAACTGTGTATCCGATCCGACTCCTCCCAGCATTCTTAGCATCTGCCTTAGCATGTGCCATGACCACAGCAACTCTCATAAAGGAAACCATTTAACTGGGGCTGGCTTACAGGTTGAGAGGTTTAGTCCGTTATCATCATGGCGAGGAGCAGGGCAGCATGCAGGCAGCCATGGTGCTGGAGAAGGAAGTGAGAGTTCCACATCTGGATCCACGGGCAGCAGAAAGCGACTGTACCACACTGGGCATAGCTTGAGCATATATGAGACCTCAAAGCCTGCCTTTACAGTGACACACTTCCTCCAACAAGACCGCACCCACTCCAACAAGACCACACCTACTCCAACAAGGCCACACCTACTCCGACAAGGCCACACCCATTCCAACAAGGCCACACCCATTCCAACAAGAGCACACCTACTCCAACAAGACCACACCTACTCCAACAAGGCCACACCTCCTGTAATGCCACTCCCCAGGGACCAAGCATTCAAACACCTGAGTCTATGGGGGTCATTCTGATTCTTTTTTTAAGATTTGTTTATTTTATTTTATGTGTATGGATATTTGCCTGTGTGCGTGCGTGCGTGTGTGTGTGTGTGTGTGGTGTGTGTGTGTGTGTGTGTGTACGCACACACCATGCCTGGTGCCATGGATCCCCTGGAACTGGAGTTACAGACAGTTGTGCGCTCCCATGTGGATGCTGAGAACTGAACCCTGGGTCCTCTAGAGAAGCACCCAGTGCTCTTAACTACTGAGCCATTAAGACCGCTGCAGCATCCATCTCTCACAGAGCCTCTCACATCATGTCCTCTGCTGCATCCTCCTCTGTGTTCCCCAGACTCCCAGGGATGTCCCACTTAGAGCTGTCACTCAGAAGTGACTAAGGAATGGCCCTGTGACATCCCCCGGCCACTTTGATCTGGCTTTCCACTTCCAGCTTTGATTTAGACACAATTCTAGGCAGGGCCAAAATAGGCAGTGATCTGAAAGCCTCCCTCTCATCACCATATCTTAAACTTACTCGAATCAGTACCAGGTTTTTCAGCTTTCTTTGTTTGAAGAATTAACCCTGGCTGTCCCAGAACTCATATATGAGGCTGGTCTCAGACTCAGAGATCTGCCTAACTCTGCCTCCAAAGTGCCAGAATTAAAGGCATGTGCCTAGCTGTTCTTTATTTGAGACAAGGTCTTCAGGTAGCCCAGGCATCAAACTTGTTAGGTAGCCAAGGCTGGCCGTGAACTCTTGATCCTCCTGCCTCTGCATCAAGTGCTGAGATGACTAGTGTGTCAGCCACATAGCTGTCAATCACCCGCGGGCATCATTCCCAAGTCCCGCCCACTGATACAGATTGGGATGCAGAGTTGATCAGTCTCCCTGCTGTGCTCACACTAGAGGGGCCAGGCTCTGAGAGAGGCAAGCTGAGCTCCGCTCTGGCCTCATCTCTAAGACTCAGCCATACGGTCACTCAGCAGGAACTGTGTGTGTGTGTGTGTGTGTGTGTGTCTGTCTGTCTGTCTGTCTGTCTGTCTGTCTTCTACTTGTGCTACATCCTCATATGCGTGCATGTCTGTCTATCTGTCCGTCTGTCCGTGTCTGTCTTCCAGTTGAGCTACATCCTTGTGTGTCCATCTGTCTGTCTGTCTTCCAGTTGAGGTACATCCTCATCCCCTCTCAGTCCCTCTGAGTCTTGGTTTCCGGTGAAGAAGAGAGTGGGTGAATTCATTATGTACAACCAGGAAGGCGCTTGGGTGTGGCTGTCAAAGCTGCAGGCGTCCTCCAAAGGTGATCTAGGTCATCCCAAAAGAAAGCAAATTCAAGCAGGGCCTGACCAGCCAACAGAGACTCTGGACAGCATCTGCCAAGGCCTTTCCTCCCCAGCCAAGCCTCTGCCATGAGCCTCTCCCATCAGCAGGCACAGAGGCCCAGGAATTCCACCTAAGAATTTTGTCATGATGCCCTCACCACATGCAGCCTCTTAACAATCACGGAATGTGAAATTCTCAATCAAAACACACATCCAATGAGGAGACAGGCTGGAATCACAGGTTATGACCACGGAGGGCAAGGGCTAAGAACAGTGTACAGCCTGGAGTGGAGCCTGGCTGCCTGGGGTGGCCAGCACGCCCCCGAGAAGGCCCAAGGTGGCTTGTGATCTTGTGATCACCACCTCTCCCACCGCCCAGGGAATCGTTTTCTTTCCAGGATGTGTGGGCAGTCGGTCACGTGTATGAGACTATTCCATGCTAATAACGGATGAGTCAGTGACCTGCTGGAGAGCAGAGGGAAGGCTGGGCCTGCTGGCCTGTCAGGGCTGCCTCCTGCTGGCTTCTGCCCCAGGTCATCTCAGGTTCTCTGGACTTGGTTGGGCTCTGTTGGTGTGATTATATCTTTTTAGCAGCAACCCCACTCCCACCTTGCCTAAGCTGAGCCCATTCCCACTGATTCCCCCGTCCCCCCGGATTCTCAGAGTGGCCCGGAGGAGCATGCTCAGGACAACTACTCACACATTTGCCACAGATGGCAGGTGAAGAGGAAAAGGTTAGGGTCACAGCTCAGGCCCCCCAGTCTCTGCTCCCGTCTGTTTCTCCCTCTCCTCACACCTGGCCTCAGCCTCTCAGGGGACCCAGCCCTACCTGCAGTGTAGACTGTGCCCAGGATAATCCCCAGAATAATCCACCAGACTGCAAACACACACAACACACACAGACATATGCCACATGGACCCACGCATATGCACAAACACACCACACACAGACACATGGACCCACAAATATACACAAACACACCACACACAGACACATGCCACATGGACCCACAAATATACACAAACATACCACACACAGACATATGCCACATGGACCCACGCATATGCACAAACACACCACACACAGACATACAGACATATGCCACATGGACCCACAAATATATACAAACATACCAAACACATACACATTTACATATATACACACAGACATATGCCACATGAACCCACAAATATATACAAACATACCAAACACATACACACTTACATATATACACACAGACATATGCCACATAGACCCACACATAAGTACAAACACACCACACACAGACACACACCAGACACAAAGACATAAACCACACAAATCTATATAAACAAACATACCACATGCATACATATGGACATATGCCACACAGACCCACACATATACACAAACATACCACACACAAACATATACTACACATGCATATATACAAACACACCACACACACACACATACACACACACACACACCACATAGTCACACACACAAATACACCAAACACATATATATACCCATACCAGATACATATACATATATACAGACATATGCCACACAGACATACACAAACACACCATGCATACTGATTTACACCATAGACTCACACATATACACAAACATACCACACAGACCTACACAAACATACATATACAACATATACCCATACATAAACACAGCCAAAACACACACCACACATACACACAAACACATCACATAGACCTACACAAACATCACACCACACACACACAACAAACATATACCACACAGATCCATGCATACACACAAATGTGCACAAAACGACACATACACTATATATATACATACATACAAACAACATACATACCACACAAACACACACACATACACACACACACAAACAAACAACATACATATCACACAAACACACCACACCACTGCCCACCATCCCCAGACAGAGAGGGATCTCAACCCTCCCTTCAGGCTCCCATCACCTTGATCTGCACAAATCAACTAAGTTTTCCTAGGGTGCTCTGTGGCTGGGGTCTGACCTGTGACTCATCTCAATCCACTTTCCCAGCATCTTCTGAAGGGCCAGCATTCACTGCTGGGTTCTTCAGATGGCAGTCATACCTGTGAACGGTCTGCCACCGAATGTAGAGATACACACATACACGCATACACGTAGACATGAATATGTATGTATATACATTATTATATATTTCCTAGTATTTTATTGAATTATAAATTTGTAATTAAAAGAAAAACACAGACTGAGAGGAACTCCAAGCATGAGCCGGCAGAGCCTTGGGAAGAGCCCTGTGCATGGCTGCCCTCTTTCAATTTCTAGTCCAATAACTTGACTACAGAATAGGTGTTCTTCAGCCATTCTTAAATCTCAAGTGATTTTTAAAAGAAAATCAGCCCTTTACAATTAATAACCAGGGTCCTCATCATCATCCTGCTAAGGCCAGATGGACTATGCCCCCGAGGACCCTGTGTGTGGATACAGGATGCCTGCCTCAGGGGGTCCTGGTTCCCGCTCGGGTCCCTTCAGCCCACCCAAGTTGGACTGGGTGGCAGCTGAGCAGATGCTGGCTGCACCCCAAGCCCAGCTCAGGCCGTGGAGGTCAGCATCTGAACCTGGCCAATGATGACTCTGCTAATCCTTCTTGTCATATTTACCTTACAGACCACGTCTCGGTCGGAGGACTTGGGGACAGTTTTTATGAGTATTTGATCAAGTCCTGGTTGATGTCCGACAAAACAGATTTGGAGGCTAAAAATATGTACTACGAAGCCTTGCAGGTAAGAGACGTTTCCTGCCACCTGCCGAGTGGGCAGCCACCAGTCCTCAGAGCCCTGCATGCCGGGAGAGGCCACTGAATGGGCAGGGAGTGACAGGCGAGGCCTCCCCAGCCGCACTTCACATACCTCCCTGGGGACATCTGCGTGTTCCTCCCCAACGCTCAGAAACCCGGGCTCAGGCAGGTCAGGCCATTTGTCCAAGGTCTCATAGGAAGCGACAGCCCGATTTAGGAAGCTTAGTTGAAGCCCTCCCCCAACAGTCTCCCGGCCTCAGCTAATGTGTCAAAGCCCTCATGGCAGCCAGGAGCCCTTGGGGCTCCAAGGCGAGAGCTTCAGCTGTCATCCTGTAAACCAGCGGTGACACTTGGGCAGGGAGAGAGTGGCATCCAGGCTGTGTGGGGCATGCACTACTTCTCTGCTTGTTCTCCCCATGTGGATGCAAACCAAGATCCAGAGAGGGGAGGACACTTGCCCAAGGCCACACAGCACGGAGCCAGCAGAGTTAGTGCTGCTGCTGGTCTCTTCATGGGGTGTGGAGTGAAGAGGGTGTCCGGCTGGAGTGAGTCCCGCCTAAGAGGAATATCTAGACCAGACAAGGGAGTTGGCTAACTAGAGCTATGGATGCCTTCGAACCCAGTAGGTGGAAGTAGATGGAAAAGCAGGGGCTGGAGTTTCGGCTCAGTGGTTAAGAGCACTGGCTGCTCTTACAGAGGATCTGGGTTCAATTCCCAGCACCCACGTGGTGGCTCACAACTGTCTGTTCCAGGGGATCTAATGCCCTCCTCTGACTTCTCTGGGCACCAGGCATGCATATGATGCACAGACATACATACAGGCAAAACACTCATACACATAAAGTAAAAATAATAAATCTAGCCAGTAGTGGTGCACGCCTTTAATCCCAGCACTCAGGAGCAGAGGCAGGCGGATCTCTGTGAGTTCGAGGCCAGCCTGATCTACGAAGGGAGTTCCAGGACAACCAGAGCTGTTACACAGAGAAACCCTATCTCAAAAATAAAATAATAATAATAATAATAATAATAATAATAAATCTTAAAAGATTTTATAAGAAAAAGAAAAAGCATGGAGAAGGCTCTGGGCCTCAGTTTCCCCATGAAGTTAGTTGGATTCCTTGTCCCATTGCCTTGCTCTGGAACACCACCTCATGTCCTGTAGTGTGAGCTCCTGTTTCCCTCTGCCCTGCCTCTAAATCAGTTCTGCACACAGTAGCCATGAGGCTGGAGATGCTGGCTCCTCCCCTCAACCCCCCCCCCCCTTACTCCTGGAGTTAATCGTGACCCCCTCCTTCACCCACTGGGTCCTACCTGATTGGGATCCTGTCAATCACCAGGACTGCGTCACCTCACTCTTGCCCCTCTGCTTCCTCGGGTGCACTAGGCCATCCCCACCTCAGGGCCTTTGTACATGCTGACCCTCTACCCAGAATACCATTCAAAAGCCAGGTCCTTTAGACTGGCCACTCTTCTCTCATGCTGCTGAAACAACCTTCCCAGCCTCTCTATCACACGCCCAGGCTTATTCTCTTCTTCACTTGTAACAGAATCTGAAATGATTGCTTACAAACATTTGCTCACCTAATCCTTGCTGATCTTCCCCAAATACAATGTGAGTTCTCCAACCGACAATCCTGTCTCCTTGTTTACCGCATAAGCCCCACTCCTGAAGCAGACTGGCATTGGTAAGCACACAGTAGCTGTTATATGAACAAGTAGGTTCTGAGTGATGGATAAGAAGGATGAGTGGGTGACTGGATGAATGGGTTTGTGGGTGGATAGATGTGAACAATTGTGTTGAGGGATTGAGGGATGGATGGGTGAATTGGCAGATTGTTATAAGTAGTTGGATAGATAGATGGACAGATGGATGGATAGAGATATATAAGTGAGTATATGGATATGTGGACAAATGTGAACAATTGGGTGGGTGGGTGGATGGATGGATGGATGGATGGATGGATGGATGGATGGATGGATGGAAAGATGGACGGATGGTTGGACATGTGAGTGGATGGATGGATTGGTATGGGCAGCCAGATGGATAGAGGAAATGGGTAGATGGGTAGACAAGTGGGTGGTTGGCCTGGGTGGGTGGGTGGGTGGATGCATGAGTAGATTGATATGAACACTTCAAACAGTTGAGTAGATGCATGAATGAGTTAGTGGGTGGATGGGTAGGTAGATAGATGGACCAATGGACAGATGAATAGATGGGTAGAAGAGTTGGTGGGTGGATGGATGGATAGATAGATGGACCAATGGATAGCTGAGTAGATGGGTGGATGGGCAGACAGATTGATGGTAATAGTTGAATAGACAGATGCATGCATGGACGAGTTGATGGGTAGATGGGTGGATTTAGATATGAATGGATGGAGGATTGATGAAGAGATGAACGGGAGATGGGTGAATTAATGTGAGCAGATAGATGGATCTATTGGGGGAGGAGTTAGATTGATGGGAACAGCTGGAGAGATGCATGGATGGGTAGATGGATGGTCTCTAAGCACCGTTTGATGGCCTAAGTCTGCCTGGAAATGGTAGTGCATACTGAGACAGACTGTTGGAGCCATGGGCCTCTTCAGCTATGGACCCTGCCCGGCTCCCTGGTGCCAAGCTCTGTCATGATGCAGCACAGCTCAGCTCACTCCATCTTGGCCCTGTCTGCCCTTGGCCTTGGCCAGCGTTGCCTGTAGGAGGATCCCTTTCTTCTCTTCCTGCAGCTCTCCACAGAGTAAACATGAAGTTAACGAGTGTAACTGTCTCCCGGCCCTTAGGGCACACTGTGGCTGCAGCTTCAAGGGGAGAGATGGCCATGAATTATTAAGCAGTCTGGGAGCCTCAGAAAGCATGGCTGAGCAGAGAGAACTCAGCTCCCACATTTGATCTTCTGTAAGGAGCCTGGGGCCGTAGACCCTGAGTGAAGGGCAGGCCTCTGGCAGGTCTGGGGCTTTGAAGAATATTCTAGTGGTCCTCATCCTTGCTGGCATGTTGGAATCACTTAGGAGACTCAGACCCCTTCCTAGGCTGTACCCCATTAATGGCACCAGAATCTGTGGGATAGCCCAGGGATGATTCTGTAGAGTTTCCCAGGGATCCCTGTGGGAGCAAGGACTGGAACCCTGCAGGCTCAACCTGGGTCCAGTTGGGATGGGTGGGAGAATTCAAGACACCCCAGAGATGTACCCTTGAGACTCACAAAAGGAGAGCACTTAAGGAAGCCAAGGAGGGCCTCATCACTGTGACCTCCTACTCAGTCCCTTTATCAGCTCCACCTTAAAGATAATGAAACCAAGACACAAAAAGGCCTAGTCATACCACAGCAAGAGCCAGGGCAGGAGCCAGGGCCCACCTGATGCTAACCCTGCTGTTCATGGCTGCACTGGCTGGCTGCAAGTCACTTGGGTCCCTGCAGGAGAACTCAGGTGGGTTTCCCAAGAGGCATAGGGAAGGAATTGGCTGGGACAGGCACCAAGCTGGGTCACAATGCCCTCTCCTTCAGGCCTCACCACCATCCTGTGTGTGAGCTTGCATTCCCATTCTACAAAATGAGTCTTCAGAAAAGTGGGAAGTGGCTCGGAGGCCCCAGACTCCCCCTTCCCCAACCAAATTCAGCCCCTCTGTACCATGACTTGAGCCTAGCCCAGGCATCCCACCCCCGTAACATGTCTTGTGGCTTTAGGCTTTAGTTTGGGCTAAGGAGATGATGGTTCAGGCTATAAAGTGGTTGCCGCACGGGAGTGAGGACCAGAGTTCTTCCCCAGAACCTCCACAAAGAGGCCAGCATGGTGGGGAAGCAGAGGTGAGAGTCCCGAGGGGTCTCACCGGCCAGCTGGTCTAATCAACAAGCCCAGGATCCCAGTGAGAAACCCTGTCCTCAAAAAACCAAGGTGGACAGCTCTTGAGAAACGCCTATGGCTGACCCCTGGCCTCCTCATATATGCGTACACATTACAAACATACCTAGACATGCACCAGTGCAGACATGAACATGCACATATTTGTGTCGTGGGCTTCTCTCGCCACCTCTGCTTGTCTCTAGCATCGTCAGAGACACCGATCTGTGGTTTCCTCAGGGAGGCCGTCACTCACCCCGGGACTCACCCAGCCTGTGGGAGGGATTCTAGAAGGTGTTGTTTCCCAGCCCCGGGGCATGGCATCCTGGCATCTCCCCACATGTCTGTTTTACCACATCCAACACAGGTAGGTTCTGGGACCCTGGATTCACCCAGATGCCTGCCCCCTGCGGTGACCCTTAACAGACCAGCTGCGGGGACCACACTCTCCCCAGGAGCCAGGGCCGAGCCTGGAGCAGCCCCACCTAGCAGCTGGTGGCACTCCAGGCCTCAGCACGCCCCCCACGTGGAGCTGGTGCCCTAGCAAGGTACCTCATCCGTCCCTTTCCCATCTGCCACTCAGCAAGGGTCCCCCAGCCAGACCCCCAGCCCTGGCCCTGACAGGAGAGGAAAAGGAAAAACAGATCCAGAAGCCAGCACCGGCTTCCGGCGCCAGGTCCTGGTTGGTGGCTGACGGCTGTGTCAACAATGCTCGGATAGAGGGATGAGGCACTGACTGTAATCGTGTTCCAAGTGGAGAGGCAGGAGGTGGGTGTAAGAGGGCTGACCCCTCCAAGGGCCACAGCATGCTGCTTCCAGGGCTCAGAGCCAGGGCAGGGCATGCACAGTCAGAGGCAAGAGACGTCTCTGACCTCACTCTGCAAGCAGAGCAGCCATAGCTTCGTCTCGAAGCCTCAGTTTACCTCTTCCTGACCGCTGGTCACAGACAGTCACCCCCATGTGCATTTGACAGAGACCTCTGCACCCAGAGCTAGGCCCATCCACGGTGTACCACATGTATCCCCAGCCCTTGGGCATGAAGGAGAAAAGGCCACTGAGGCTGGGATGGGCCGCAGAGGCCCAGGGGCAGCATTTGTTGGGGACTCTGACATGGCACTGAGAAAGCGTTTAACCTGCCCAGTGCCACACAGCAGAACTGATAGAAAAGAGATTTGAACTTACAGGATGTGTGCCCGGGAATCAGTCTAGAAAACCAGTCACTCCTTGGGGTCCAGATCAGGGTCCTTTGAGGCCTGGTGGAGCCACCTTCCAATGGTGCCAAGAGTCCATTGGGGTTGCAGGAAGGCCTAGGATGTGATCGGTTCATTTAAGAGTAGACTGGGGCCGGGGAGGCTGGAGAGATGGCTCAGCGGTTAAGAGCACTGGCTGCTCTTCCAGAGGTTCTGAGTTCAATTCCCAGCAACCACATGGTGGCTGGCTCACAGCCATCTGTAGTGAGATCTGGTGCCCTCTTCTGGTATGCAGGCATACATGCAGACAGAGCAACCATACTTTAAAAAAACTACATAAATGTTTTTGAAAAAGCAGCTAGATGAGCATGGAGAATGGGACGAAGGCCCAGGAATGTTTCCAGGGGTTTTCAGCTAAAACCAGGACTCATGCGCCTATGAGGGCCAGCTCTAGACTGTGTGGACGGTACCCAGCTTCAGAGTTCCAGCGACTATTGGCAGAAGGCACCCCAACATCATGAGTCATTTCTCAGGAGCCCCTTTCTTCTAAAAGGAGCCTGCAGCGCGGGCAGAAGGGGCTCCCGTGGGTGATGGGGGTGAGCCGATCCTCCCACGCCCAGCAGAGGGAGAAAGTGCCGCTGAAGCCCTGGACGGGGCAGGGATTCATTTTCTGATGAGACACGGGGGCCTCCCTCCCACAAAGACGCTTAGCCACAGGAAGGCTGGGGACTCCAGTGCCTTCTGGATGCTGGAGCCCATACCCAGGCCAGCAGCCTCCGGGCTAAGCCCTTCTAGCAGAGGGTGTGGTGGAGGGGAAGCTTTGCTAATCTTTATTTATTCACTGTGATGACTGCTGAATCTCGGAATCAGGTTTGCATAACAGGCATTTTTACCTGCAGAGCCAACTCACTGGTCCCATTGTGAAGACTTTTTTAAGTGTTCTTTAAAACATTGATCTTTTTTTTTTAACCTTTACAAATTTACTTGTTATTTTTATTTTATGGGTGTGTCTGTGTACCGCGTGCATGCAATGCCCACAGAGGCCAGAAGAGGGCGTCAGATCCCCTGGAACTGGAGTTACAGATGTAAGCTGCCGTGTGAATTCTGGGAATGGAGTTGGGGACTCTGGAAGAGCAGCCAGGGCTCTTAACTACTGAACCATCTCTCCAGCCACAACATGTAGATTTAAAAGGCCCCTGTGACATCCCAGCTCCCAGCAGGAACCCCCACTGGCTCAGGGAAATAGGGCCCTGCCAAGCAACCCTGCCACTGTTTCCTTGTGGCTCACTGAGTCTCCCCTTTTCTCCCCCCCCCCCCCCGACCCTGCATTTTCCTCCTCACTCTCAGGCCATCGAGACCTATTTGCTGAATGTCTCTCCTGGGGGTCTGACCTACATTGCTGAGTGGCGAGGGGGAATTCTGGATCACAAGATGGGACACCTGGCCTGCTTTTCGGGGGGCATGATCGCCCTTGGTGCTGAGGATGCCAAGGAAGACAAGAGGGCCTACTACCGAGAGCTTGCAGCCCAGATCACCAGAACATGCCATGAGTCCTACGCCCGCTCAGGTAACCCTGCAGGGGAAGAAAGCAACAGCCGATACCCAGGCTAGACACCAGGAAGCACCGGCCAGAGCAGCAGGGCAGTGAGGGGTGGGGAGCTCTTATTACCATCTCCCCGGGAAGTTACTGGACTTTGAGTGAGAGGCGCGCAGGCCTGGTACTGATTGTGGTGTGTCCAGCACTGAGAGGTGTCACTACTGACACCCCACCCCACCCCCGACTCCTGGCACAGGTGGGGAAACTGAGGCTCAGTGATGACTGACTTGGTTAAGGTGCCACGGGAGGCAGGGATAGGAGGGTCCTCCCTCCCTCACCCATGACAGATTGACACCTGAGCCCTGCAAATCCCCTGCCTGCAAGGGTACCTCTGCCCATCCTCTACATGCCGCTCTCACCCCAGCTCTGGCCACTCTTTGACTCAAGACCACCAGCCAGCTTAAGAGCTCTGTTCACATCCACCTGGCACTTACCCAGGCTGTCAGATAGGCTAGGGGTGTGAGCCGCAAGCCTCAGTTTATACCTGGTGAAACAGTCAGCCCAGAGAAGGGGAACAGGCTTAGGGAAAGTCCCTCCAAATGTGAGTGGCTGAGCCTGGCTGAGAACCAGGCCCTGATATCCAGTTACACACACACGCACACACACACTCACACACACGCACACACCATTGTGCCCCTCTCAAAGTGTACTGCCCAGTCTCAGGAGCTGCCTCTCTGAGCCACAGTCCTAGCCTTGGGTGGATGAGAGGCTCTACACTGTGCTCTGAGCCTCTGTGTTCTCCTCTGTGCAATGGGGGAAAACAGTCTGCAGCTGCCGGAGCCATGCCAGATTCCACGAGCCAGCATCTAAGGAGCCCCGCAAGAAGAGGCTTTGACGAGTCTGGGGGCTGGAACTGGTTCCAAGCGGGTCCTAGGAAGTCATATTCGTGCTGGGCCTGAAATTGGGCCTCCCATTCTTTTCACGGCGGGCCAGGGCCATAAACAAATGGGAAATCTCAGGAATAATAAAGAGCTGTTTGTCTGGACAATCACCCAGGGCTGTAAAAGGCAGCCGCTTAATCGAGCATATTGTCCCAACCAGCCCAGCTCACCCGCCACCGCCGCCGCCGCCTCCGTACAGCCACCACCTCCCTCGCCCCATTAGGAACTTGGCAAAAGCACTGTTTCCCGGTGGCAGAGCCTCGGTGCCATCTGAAAAGACTGAATGGGGGCCAGCGGGTGAGGAGGCTGAGCCCAGTTGACTCCTCTTCTGAGAAGATAAGCCTCCAAAGTGCCAACAGGCTTGCGAGGAGACCCTCACCCACCCCTGGGGCCTCCTGGGTGCCAAGGCCAAGCCGGAGGGGGTGGACAGACACGGCCTAGGTCAGCCATGACTCACTGTGTGGCCTTGAGTCAAAGGCTCGGCCTCGCTGATCCTGTTGCCGTATGAGTGAGAGCAGACCTGCCCTTAGCAAAAAAGAAAGACAAATGAAGGATTGTGATCAGGTAAAGGGCCCAGTGGAGGCCCTGAAATCACAGATGGAGGCTCTGCTGTCCTTTACAGTTTGGGTCCTGCAGAAGACAAAAGGGTAGCAGATTGCCCACACACCAAACCTGGACCCCACCAAGGCAAGCGCCCTCTGCCTTGGCAGGTGCTTTCCCGGGCTCCTGCCTTGTTAGGGCTGCTGCTACTTCTGTGATAAAACTCCATGAACAAAAGCAACCTGAGGAGGAATTTATTTCATCTTACAGCTCTCGGGTGGCACCCCATCACTGAGGGAAGTCAGGGTAGGAACCTGGAGGCAGGAGCTGAAGCAGAGACCTTGGAGGGGAGCTGCTTACTGGCTTCTGCCCAAGGCCTGCTCAGCTTGCTTATATACCCCCAGGACCACCTGTCCGGGATGACACTGCCCCCCCCCCCTTGGGCTGGGCTCTCCCACATTAACCATCAATTAATACAATACCCTACAGACTTGCCTCCAGGCCAACCTTATAGACACAGTTTCTCAACTAAGAGTCCCTCTTCCCAGATATGTCTAGATTTAGTTGACAATGACCAGCCCTGGTCCTCCAGTAGCTCCCACTTGGTGTTTTCTTGGGTGATGGTAGGTGTGTGAAGGGGGGTGGGGATTGATGGAGGGACTGGTGGTATATTAGGACAATAAAGGGCCTGGTATGTCCTACAACCCTCCTTTTTTTTTTTTCCATGGGAGGGGGTTGAGTCAGGGTCTAAAATGTAGCCCTAGTTTGCCTATAACTCAGTATGTAGACCAGGCTGGCGTCAAAATCAGAGAGATCCACTTGCTTCTGCCCCCGAGTGCTGGGATTCTAGGCATGCACTGCTACACCCCTCTAAACTGCTAAATCCTTCAGGCTTCAGCGAACTTGCTGTGGAGGCTGTGCACAGCTTGGTGCAGCCCCAAGAGGTAACTGGTAGGCCTACCCCATACCAGCACTCAGCCTAGGCCCATCAGGCATCCAGGTCCATCCTAGACAGGGTCCACAGAAGCGGGACGTGGGGGTTCTGACGGTTCTTGCTCATCTGTTCCCACAGACACCAAGCTGGGGCCTGAGGCCTTCTGGTTCAACGCTGGCCGAGAGGCAGTGGCCACACAGCTGAGCGAGAGCTACTACATCCTGCGGCCTGAGGTGGTGGAGAGCTACATGTACCTGTGGCGGCAGACGCATGACCCCATCTACAGGGAGTGGGGCTGGGAGGTGGTGATGGTGAGTGTGGGGGTAGTGGGTGTCCCTGGGAAGCCACCGTCAGGGGCTTAAAGCCTCTTCCTCGGGAACTATAGGATGGCGGCCAGGCTGGCCTCTGGCCAAGGAATAAGATAGTAGAGTTGTTCAGGAGGCTGCGGAACCAAGAGCGCAGCTCTGGGAAAGCCTCCCTGAGGCAAGGCTGATATTGCTAGGGAGAGTCTAAGTGTGTGTGTCCTTGGGGACAAAGGACACCCCAGTACCATCTAGTTTCTTTCTTTCTTTTTTTTTTTTTAAAGATTTATTTATTTATTATGTATACAGCATGTATGACCAGAAGAGGGCACCAGACCTTATTACAGATGGTTGTGAGCCACCATGTGGTTGCTGGGAATTGAACTCAGGACCTCTGGAAGAGCAGTCGGTGCTCTTAACCTCTAAGCCATTTCCCCAGCCCCACCATCTAGTTTCTATGCCCTGGCCCCAGAGCCTGGATGAGTTGCTTGAGATGCCTCTTTTGAAACAGGTCCAGCCGCCAGCCAGCAGCTCACCCTGCTCAGTCTCTAGCCATCCCCCAGGCCCCCTGGTCTTCCCTCCATCCCGAGCACTAGTTAGAAACCTGGCCCTCCCAGAGTGTCACTGTTCCATTGCTGTGAAGAAGCAGCATGGCCAAGGCAACTCTGAAAAGAGAAAGCTTTGACTTGAGGCTTGCTCACAGTTTCAGAGGTCTAGTCCATGGTCATCATGGCGGGAAGCATGGTGGCAGGAACGATACTAGAGAAGTAGATGAGAGCTACATCCTGAACCACAGGCAGAGAGGGAGGGAGGGGGAGAGAGAGAGAGAGAATTAGTGAATGAATGAATGAATGAATGAATGAATGAATGAATGAGAGAGAGAGCAAAAGAGACTGGGCCTGGAATAGGCTCTTGAAACCTCAAAGCCCATCCCCAGTGACACACTTCCTCCAACCAGGCCACACCTCCTAGTCCTTCTCAAAGAGTTCCACTCCCTGGGACTAAGCATTCAAATATGTGAACCTGAGGGGGCCATTCCTATTCAAACCACCACATTGGGGTAGGACAGCAAAGACAAGTGTGGTGCTTCCAGAAAATTCTCTGATGAGTGCTACCTCCTCCGTCTCTCTTCCCACAAGCCCCTGTGCCCATGCCAGCAAGGAGTCACCTGCTTTGGGGACAAGCTATCCTTGCACACACTCAGGGTGGGGACTGCTTACGTTTAGGACCCATCCAGGCTTCTGCTTCCCTGAAGCCCTGCTCTTGACCTTCAAAGGCCAAATGTTTTGTGCTCATGTGCATCACCAGAGCAGGAAGGGGGCCAGTGTTGGACGTAGCGCAGAGCAGGGGCAGGCACAAAGGACCCCCAAAAGGCATCTCAGCAGTACTCCCCTCTCTCTGAGTCACAGCACCATACCTAAGGTTGGGGTCAAGAGGTCACCGAGGCAAGCTACAATCCCAGTAAGATTTGTTAGTTGTAGGGGTGCCAGGGTTCTGAAGAGAGTTTAGCCCCATGGACATAGGGGGTTACCCTGTTAGAGGATTTTGAGAAAGGGGAAGGCCCCACGCCACCACGAGGTTTATAAGTAGACGGTAACATGCTCTTGCAGTCAGATTTCCAAGCAGCAGGGAAAGAGGAAAGATCCATCTTGCCCTTTGTGGCCGTAGCCACAGCAGGTGGCCTGTCGTCCCCAGCAGGATGCCTAAGCCACCGACCCTACAGTGTACAAAACTTCCTGTAGAACAGGAAGCACACACCCACCCTGACGCAGAGACCTCACCTCCAGGCTTCTGGGTCTGCTCTCTGGATCCCAGTGGCCCCTGCAGATTGCCAGCAACCATGCTTGACCTCATCACCTCTGCGGTGAAAGTGTTGGTCGCCCGGTCATCCGGGTCCCTGGAAAGTGGAGACGCCTGGACTAGACTCAGACCAGGGAAATGCTTAGACGGGGCGAGGGCAATCTGGGCTGGCTGATCCTGGGAGAAGGAGCCAGCCTGGACTCCCAGGTGGCCAGCCAAGGACTGGGAGCTGTGTGTTAAAGCCCCGGCCACCAGGCATCTCCTGCCCACACTAAGGCTGCTCCCTTCCTCCAGGCCCTGGAGAAACACTGCCGGACCGAAGCCGGCTTCTCGGGGATCCAGGATGTGTACAGCAGCAATCCCAACCACGACAACAGGCAACAAAGCTTCTTCCTGGCTGAGACGCTCAAGTGAGTGCAGATGTTCCTGGGTCAGGCCAGTGGCTGGGGGAGTCGGAGAAAGGTGGAGGCTTAGGGTGGAGGCTTAGGGTCCACACAGCAGACTGAGCTCCGGCTGGGCCTAATTCTTCCCAAGAGCCCCAGCCCCGACCACAGAGGTAGTTTCACAAGCCCCTTCACCTGGTCCTCTGCCACTCAGCTCTTCGAAACAGTCACCAACATGTGACGTTGATAGTGAGCAGTGGTAGGGGCTGTCCCCCTGTGACCCCTGCGGCCCAGCTTGGAGTGCTCGGCAGGCTCCTGTCTGCTCCGGGTATCTGCCCTACTTACCAACTACTCTCCGTGCCCTAGTGGTCCCAGAGCCTGGCTGTGTCACTGCGGCAGGAATTTAACTGTAGCTTGGGAACCTGGCGGCGAGTTTGGGCAGGTCAGACCCTGGGCCTCCTGACCAAGAGCAAGTCTAGGCCCAAGTCTTCGGGGCTCACAGCAGGGCCGTCAGTCGAATGGATGCCACCCAGGATTAATCAGAGCTCGGAATCCCTGTGCTGCCCCAGGACCAGCCCTGGCAGGTGTGGGTGTCCCTCCTGTGGCCCTCCTCCTCTCCCCAGGCACTAACCCCTCTCTCGCCCCCTGCCCCGCCACACAGATACCTCTATCTTCTGTTCTCTGAAGATAACGTGCTGTCGCCCGAGGACTGGGTCTTCAACACCGAGGCCCACCCGCTGCCCGTCAATCACTCGGACAGCTCCAGCAAGGCTGGGCACCACCACTGACCCTCTGTCTCCATGCCCGTGTCTCAGGGATGCCTCTACTTTCTTGGGATCCGGGATCGTTCTCAGAGGCACTGGGGACGGAAGGCCCACCGCGGGCAGACCCTGGACGGATGTGTCGGACAGGCGACTTCTTTTCCTCTGTGAGGAGACAGGAGCTGGTGACGCACCAGCGTCGGGCCCGGGCTGTGGTCCCCGGTGCCCACACGTTCCTTTCTATGGGGAATTTCTGTGCCCCACACCCGCTGTCACAGGGCCAAAGGACTGGAGGTTTGCATATCCACCCTCTGTATTTGATTCACTTCCTTTTTTTGTTGAGGGAGTTGGTTTTGCTTGATTTTGCATTTTTCTCCACTTGAGTTTTATGACGATTATAAATATAATTTTCAAAATCATGCACCTTCTCAAACGGTGTGACCTAACTCAAGGAGACCTTAAGTGTCTTCACACACACACTCTTGACCCGTCTGTTTTTAATGCCTCGTACCCAACACTGACTCTGTTCTACCCTGTGTTTCCTACTTTATGATTTGAGGAGGTGGCGCACTCCCCTTTGATTTGGTCCCAAATGTTACAAATCACTAATGCTATTTTCATTACTGTAATGGAAAAATATGTGAAGTAGAATAAAGGAGTTTATTGAATAAGAAATAAGATTGGACTCATTGCCCACCAGTGGCTCCTGGGAAACGTGTTACAACAATGTCATCAGAAACAATCACAGACTGACAGCGGAGCTGAGGTATGATTTAGTCAACCATTTCCGACTCTATAACACTCGCTTCAGTTGGCCCAAGTAGACCCAGGAAGCATGAGGCTGGCCCTTTGGATAGAGTTGGGTATGTGTGCTCAGATGGAGGATTGGAAGAAACCCAGAGAGGTGAAGCTGTTTGCCTGAGGTCACACAGCCAGGAAAAGGCAGAAATGAGTCCTCTGGGATCTCCTGGCCACCCCAGGCCTTTGTTCCTCCGCTGTCAGTCAGCAATGCTTGATGAGCACCTGCCGTGACCAGGTGCTACACTTCGGACCAAGGAGAAGGCAGACAGTGAGATGGGATCTCCGACCACTTGATGCCCCAGGGTCGGTGGAATGACTTCACATCATTGGAAACACCAACAAGGAGGCATGAGGCTGAGTCAACAGTTGCCAGGACCTAGCTCAAGGGTTAGGGACAATAAGGTGGCTTTTAAGCCAAGACCCAAAGATAAGGATACATCTCTAGGAAAGGATATAGTGGGGTGAGGTCTGCCAACCCAGACCCTCTTCCCACCCTCCCTGTGCCTACCTCTGCTGCCCCATGAACCCAGAGGCCATCTGCATGGCAAGGAGTCCACCTCGCTACACTGAGGTGCCAGAGTTTCCTTTCCAACCTGGTCCCGCTTGCAGCCTGGCCACAGCGGAGGTCCCGGGTAGTGTTGCGTCTTTCCAGCCCCCTTGTTGAGCTGTGCTTATCAACTGGTCATCAAGGCATTGGAACTCTGGGCCTGGTGGTCCCCACCCTCACTGTGTGAGCCCAGGCAAGTCACCTCACCTCTCTAGGCCCTTATCCATCAACCAGTGAGATGCTCCTGGGACCCTGTGGTCCAGGGTATACTGCCTCCTTGTTCTGGAGGCTCAGACACCCGAGCTGTTCCCGAGCAGAGCTGTGCGTGCCCAGGCCCCATAGCTGTGACCCTAGAGCATCAGTCACATTTTAATCAGGTGTTGTAGAACGGGGTTTCCTGCTACCCACAGCACACACTTCAAAAGACAAGGAAAAGCCACCGCACAAACTCACCGCACAAACACTGTCGGACAATTAAAAAACCAAGATAATCAGAAAACACGGTCACTGTCCCACTCTCGGGAATGAGTAACTGTTATATTTTCTTCTAGACCTTTTTCTAGGAATATATACAATATATATTTTCCAAACATGGTATCAGCCTAATGCATACTGTTTTCTTATAACCTGCTTTTGCACCTAACTATCTATTGTGAACCTCTTTCCGTGTCAACAAATACACACGTATGTCAGTACTCATCCTGGTTGGGTAGTTTCCCACTGGGTGCCGTCTCCTGCTGTGACGCTCCGATGCTGGGCATTGGGTTTGTGTCTCTGGGGACTCTTAGTTAAACAACAACAAAAGCATGTATTGAATTGCCACTGAGTGGCTCCTGGAACCCTGGGAACGAGGGAACTGCTAGACCTCAAGAAGGACAGGAGGTCTGGAGAGATGGGTCAGTGGTTACAGATACTCACTGCTCTTCCAGAGGACTCAGTTTTGATCCCTAGCACCCATGTCGGGCAGGCACCTGGAACTCCAGCCACAGCAGATGTCATCTTCTTCTGCTTCCACGGGTGCCCACACATGTATGGCACACTCTCACACACACACACCTACACACAATTATTTAAAAAAGACAAGAAAGAGGATTTGGTGGCCAGGGGTTCTTCAAGACAAGGGGTGGCCTTCCAGGTCCTCAACAGGATGAATGAGCCCAAAGCACCCAGGTCCTGCTCTTGCTTTGTCCCACGGAGCTTGGCCTGGGTGCCAGCTGGCCCATAGCCAAGGGTGTAAAAGCATCTTGATTGGCACACCCACCAACATCTGAGCATCAGGTATCCATGGAAGACATAAATGAAGTTCACTACCTCCATAAGGGGCCTTGAACTGAGAAAGAGAGCAGGCTGGTTCCATTTGCCTGCCTTTTTCCGGAATGGTAAGGAGCTGTGAAGAGCTCCCTGGCCTCTCCTCCTCCCACCCTGCCCAGTTCATCCCTGGGCTGTGTCAACTAGAATGTCTCTCCCTCCAAAGTCCCCAAGCTCCCCCACCGGGCCCATGTCACATCCTTGTCCTTTGCCTTTCTTCTGGGAGCAACTTGTAAAACTGGCTGTTTTAACATCTGTCCTCCAGGAGAGCTCTGGCGGGTGGTGAAAATACCATCTTTTCAGCATAGAACATCACACCAGGGATAAAAAATAAAATAAAATAAGGAAGGCCTGAGGCAGCTCTAAAGAGATGGGCGCTGGGGATGACTCAGACCCAAGAGGCAGGAGAGGGCCTGTGGCGGGCCCCAGGCTACCCTTCCCTACAGCAGTCTGCACCTCCTACAGCTCACCAACAGCTCAGTGCCAGCCTCTCGTGGGAGTCCTCGCCACCTGCCCAGGTCCTGAGCCCTGGAGCATCATGGGGAGCAGAGGGCCTAGTCTGGCCGGGTACCTCCATCAAACCATGCACATGTGCTCAGATAGCCAGACATGCTGGGGGTCGGGGAGGCAAAACTGGTGGCTGGGGAGACTGAGGGCTGAGTTGGTAAAGCACTTGCTGCATAAGCCTGTGGACCTGAGTTCAGATCCCCAGGACCCATATGAGGGCCGCACTGGGTGGCACCTGTCCGTAATCCCAGAGGAGGGGAACTGGTGGCTCCCTGGAGCTCCCTGGCCAACCAGTCTAGTGAAGTTCAGGGAGAGACCCTGCCTCAGAAATACAGTGGATGCCAGAGAGGTGACTCTGGTTAAGAGCATGTACTGCTCTTAAAAAGGACCCAGGTTTGGTTATCAGAACTTGTGTTTGCATCCACAACCGCTGCCTGTAACTCTAGCTCCACATGATCCAGTGGCCTCTTCTGGATTCCTTGGGCACCTGCACTCATGCATGCACATACCCACACACAGACATGCATAAAAACAAAATAAATTCTTGTGGGCCACAAGAATATATTATAGAGATTCAGCTGTGTATTAAAGCTATACTTTGACTGGACAAGGCTCCGTCCAATGGGAAGCCATTTATCACGGAATATTTGGTGTTAAACAGCCTTAATATTTCAGCTGTCTTCTGCTATGAAATTCTTGCGTGCCCAAATACTCACAGACCACTTGGCAAACAGCTAAGCTTCTCAGCCCTTGATCCACTAGAGAGCTAACACCCAACAAAGCCTAGGAGACTAGCAGGCCGCAGATGCACAGCTTTGTTTCTTGTGCAAATGAAGCTCATATCATCCCTTGCCTTCAAGCCTAGTGGCATTCCAGAGCAACTGACTGAGAACAACAGGGCTTTCTGCATAACCAGGTGCAGCAGGGACTGAAGCGGAATTCCTGAGGCAGACACAGAACGGAGAGACCAGAGAGAGGAGAGGAAGACAGAGATTCTGCAGAGGGTAAAACTGATCTCTTGTAGAGTTTATCAGGACCAAGGGCAAGGAGCCAGGAAGGAGAGATGGAGGACGAAGGAACAGAGGACGAAGATCAGGTCAAAAGCATAGGAGCTTACTAAAACTATGAGGACAGGAAAACTGGGCACAGAGAGGAGCTGAATGTGCGGACGGAGTTGAAGCTGTGTGGATAGAATTTTGTCATAGAGGAATAAAGTTAACTGCTGTGGATGGTCTGTATGTCAAATTGCTCTGATTGGTCAATAAATAAAACACTGATTGGCCAGTGGCTAGGCAGGAAGTATAGGCGGGACTAACAGAGAGAAGAATTGAGAGAACAGGAAGTGGGAGGGAGACACTGCCAGCTGCTGCCATGACAAGCAGCATGTGAAGATGCTGGTAAGCCACGAGCCATGTGGCAAGGTATAGATTTATGGAAATGGATTAATTTAAGCTATAAGAACAGTTAGCAAGAAGCCTGCCATGGCCATACAGTTTGTAAGCAATATAAGTCTCTGTGTTTACTTGGTTGGGTCTGAGTGGCTGTGGGACTGGTGGGTGACAAAGATTTGTCCCGACTGTGGGCAAGGCAGGAAAACTCTAGCTGCAGTTAATGAACAAAAGAGTGTACATAGATTCCTTTCCCTCAGATACCCCACGCCTTATGTAGCATCTTTCCCAGGACTCTGGGAGGAACTTTCTCAGGGCAGGAACTTGGGGAAGTTCTGCTATCCTTAATAAATCTTTTCTTTTTTTTTTTTTTTTTTTGATGGTGGAGAGTAATAGAGAAAAACATTCAACATTAACCTCTGGCACTCAGACACACACACACACACACACACACACACACACACACACACACACACACATCCCACACACAAAGCAAAACTGGAGATCCCCGGGGAACATCATGAGGCCAAGATGGTGTTCTTGGGTTCAGCACTGGGATGCAGCTCACTATTCTAGCTTGTGCCAGGCCCTGGGTCCCATCCCCAGCACCCACAAAGAAATGGGCTTCTTCCTCTTGCTTTTGCTTTGGGAGGTGGCCGTCAGTGTGACATGGGCTGCAGCTGTCCCTGTCTGTGGGTCACATGCAGAGAGCTGAGTGGGCCTGTGTGACTAATGCTTACTCGCTGGCTGCTTGCTGGTGGCCGAGCACTGAGATTGCTTGGCTAGAAACACTTGGCTTCCTAGGTCTGAAGTAATGTTGACACCTGATCAGCTTGGCGCCTACATCAGGGCTTCTCAAACTAACTGTGCACACGAAGCACCTGGGGTCCTTATTAAAGAGCAAGATGGGGAGATGGCTCAGTGGATAAAGCACCTGCCTCCCAAACGTGAGTACCTAAATTCAGATCTCCAGAACCCATGCAAAAAGCCCTTCTCAAAAGGTAAGTTTGAGTACAACTAAGGGAAATGCCCTATGTTGACCTCTGGCCTCCATGTGTGTGCGTGCGCACGCGCGCACGCGCGCACGCGCGCGCGCGCACACACACACACACACACACACACAC